GGCGGGGCCCTGGCCACGGCCACGGCCCCGGCCCGCAACGTGCTGCTTCTCCTGGGTAAGTGCGGCCGCCGGCCCGACGGAGCCCCGGGACCGGTCCCGGGTCCGCCGCCCCCAGCCCTGGGACGGGGTAACCCTGCCCGGGGCTCGGGGAGTCCGGTGGGCAGGGGGAGGGACGGTCCCGGGGGTCCGGCTGCATCCCCTCTGCCGGGATGGTCACGGCAGCACCGGCCCCAGCCCGGGACGTCCTCAGCCCAGGGCTGCTCCCAGTGTCGTTAGTGTCCCCTGGGCTTTGCCACCCCCCCCCACGGTTGGGGACACGCCGGGGGTCAGGCCCGGTGCCGGAGGGCTCACCCCGCACCCCTCCCGCTGCAGCGGATGACGGTGGCTTTGAGAGCGGCACCTACAACAACTCGGCCATCCGGACACCCAACCTGGATGCGCTGGCCCGGCGCAGCGTGGTCTTCCAGAACGCCTTCACCTCCGTCAGCAGCTGCTCCCCCAGCCGGGCCAGCATCCTGACTGGCTTACCCCAGGTAGGGGCATCCACGTGCGCCGGGGTGGGGGCTGCCAGTCCGCGGTGGGTACTCGGGGATGACCGGAGCCAGCATGCTTACAGCATGGTCACAGGACCTGGCAATCCCCCCATTCCCACTGACCCACTCTCTCCCCTGACCCTGGGACCTGCTTCCCATGCACACACACTTGTTGCACGGCTGGACTTGTTTGGGGGCCAGGTTGGCAGATGTCGTCCAACCGTGTTGTCTCTCCCTGCTTGCAGCACCAGAATGGGATGTACGGGCTGCACCAGGACGTGCACCACTTCAACTCCTTCGACAGCGTGCAGAGCCTGCCCCGGCTGCTCAGCCAAGCACGCGTCCGAACAGGTAGGGAGCTCTGGGCAAGTGACACGGGCAGGGAAACCCCCTGCTCTGTGCACCGAACCCCATCGGCTGAGAGAGCTTGACGGCTGACCTGCCTGCGAGCTAGACAGCACCGACTGGACCCGTGCCCATGCTCTGTGCTGACACCTGGGTTTCGCTTTGCTCCCCCCACCACTGCTCCTCTGCCATCCTCGTTACACCTCAGTTTCACTTCTGTTCCCCATCCCGCTCCTTCCTGGTTCCCAGGCTCACTCAAGGCTCGTGCTTGACCCAAACTTCCACCCAGGCTGCTCAGCTGCTCTAGCACTTACCCACACTTGTGACTTGGGGCAGCGTGGTCCCCACGTGGGTCCCATTTTCTGACCAGATGTGGAAGTGCCTCTGCAACCGGCAGAAATGACTGGAGAAGCTGGCAGCATCTTCCACTCTCACCAGCGTTTGCTGAGCACAGCCCATGCTGGAGTGGATGATCTGTGTCAGCTCCCTGGAAGGAGACAGCAGCAGCAGCCAGCGTCCTACTCCCCGCTCCCTGCTTCTGGTACACCACCTGTCTGCGTTCTTGCAGGGATAATTGGGAAGAAGCATGTTGGGCCTGAGGCTGTCTACCCCTTCGACTTTGCCTACACAGAGGAGAACAGTTCGGTCTTGCAGGTTGGGAGAAACATCACTCGAATCAAAGCGCTTGTCCGGCAGTTCCTGCAGAGCCAGGATGACAGGTGAGACGGACCCGGCGTCCCTAGGGCAGGCTGAGAGGGGGCACGGGAGAGGAGAGGAAAACCGGCCTCGCTGAAGACGTGTCTCCATGTCCCAGCTGGTCACAAATAGGAAGGGACACCTTGTCTCAGGGTCACCCCACATCCAGAAGCCCAGATTAGGTGGGAGTCCCCCCATCGACCCCAGCTCTCCCCTGCACAGCCGAGGGAAGGTCTTGGGGGGGTGGGCAGCCCTTTGCTACACCACCTCCACCTCCACCCTCTCCGTCTCTAGGCCTTTCTTCCTCTACGTCGCCTTCCACGACCCCCACCGCTGCGGGCACTCCCAGCCCCAATATGGGGCCTTTTGTGAGAAATTTGGCAACGGAGAGAGCGGCATGGGCTGGATCCCTGACTGGAAGCCACAGCTCTACCACCCAGAGCAAGTGCAGGTGGGAGCCTGTGGGGCTGCATGGGGCTATACGGGGCTGCATGGGGCTATATGGCACTGTGCGGGGCCATATGGGAGCTGCACACTTCAGCAGCCTCCGCCGGAGCCAGGCCGGCTGCAGGCTGGCCCCCACCTCGGTCACTGCCATCAGCATTATGGGCGAGAACTGGTGAAGGCCACCCCGGCGTACCCACGACCTCCTTCCCCGTGGCCACTACGTGCCACTTTCCCGTTCTGCATTTAGGTTCCCCACTTTGTTCCAGACACGCCGGCTGCCCGGGCGGACCTGGCAGCCCAGTACACAACCATTGGGCGCATGGACCAAGGTAGGAGCCACGGGGCCAGGCTGCTGCCGGCGAGCGCTGCGATCCCTCCCACCCCCCGCCCCCAGCTCTGCCCTTCCATCCACAGGGATCGGGCTGGTCCTGGAGGAGCTGCGGCGTGCCGGCTTCCACAACAGCACACTGGTGATCTACACCTCCGACAACGGCATCCCCTTCCCCAGCGGCAGGACCAACCTCTACCGTTCTGGCACCGCCGAGCCCCTGCTGATCTCCTCCCCCGAGCACACCGAGCGCTGGGGGCAAGTCAGCCAGGCCTTCGCCACCCTCCTGGGTAAGAGCCCATGCCCCCCCAGGAGGGAGTAGAGGCACGCAGAGCTGTGCCGGGGGAGCGTGAGTGGGTTCCCACCCTCCCCACACCAAAACCCAGGGTCCTCTCGCGGACGACAGCCTGCAGCCCTCAGCATTGGCACGGCTGACCCCGGGGAAGGGAGAGGAGGGCTGACAGAGCAGCAGGGTCCCCTGCAGGGACGTCATCCCGGGGCTCAGCTCTGCAGCTCGTCCCAGGACCATCCACAGCCCACAGGGCAGCAGACCCTGGGGACCTTTCTGTCCCTCTCCGGGGTTGAGTTTCCTCCCATGGGTGCCAGCCCCTCCTCTCACCCTTCTCTTCCCCTCCAGATCTGACACCGACCATTTTGGACTGGTTCTCCATCCCCTACCCTTCTTACAGCATCTTTGGCACGAAGCGGGTGCAGCTCACTGGAAAGTCTCTCCTGCCAGCACTGGAGTCGGAGCAGCCCTGGGCCACCGCCTTCAGCAGCCAGAGCCACCACGAGGTGACCATGTACTACCCCATGCGAGCCATCCAGCACCACCAGTTCCGCCTCATTCACAACCTCAACTACAAGATGCCCTTTCCCATCGACCAGGACTTCTACGTCTCACCCACTTTCCAAGACCTGCTCAACCGCACCAGGGCTGGGCAGCCAACCCACTGGAACAAGACCCTGCACCAGTACTACTACAGGGACCGCTGGGAGCTCTTCGACTGCAGCCGTGACCCCACCGAGAGCCAGAACCTGGCCCCTGACCCCCGCTACGCCACCGTCTTCCAGCTGCTTCGCACGCAGCTCTTGAAGTGGCAGTGGGACACGAGTGACCCTTGGGTATGTGCCCCTGACGCTGTCCTGGAGGAGAAACTGAGCCCCCAGTGCCGGCCACTGCACAACGAGCTGTGAGCATCACCTCTGCCTGGCGTCCCCCATTGCCACGGGACAGCCGTGCGCTGCCCATCGGGCACGAGGGGGTCAGAGCGGGATCCTGGCTGGGTGACACCCCGAGGCTCTGCTTTCTGTATCGCAAACACCGCCTGGCCCTGGAGCATTCGGGGATCCTCGTGCCTTTATTCTCGGCCAGAGAAGTCGTAAGGCCAAGTTGCTTCTCAATAAAGCCTCTGGAGAAGAGGGCTCCGTTTTCACCTGGAGCCAGCTCCCGGTGCCGCCGTCTCCGTGCAGCACTGCCTGCTGCCAGCCCCACTGTGGAGGGGCGGCTGCACACCCCTTGAGGAAAAAGGGCCAGGGGGTACCAGCGAGGAGGCGGCAGGGGTACGGTTTAATTTAACAAAATATCCAAAAAGTGCCCAGAGTCCCTGAGGTGCGCAGGCCCAGGGGTGATGGCGTCTGCTCCCTCCCTGCGCAGCAGAGGCTTGACCAGAGCCGCACGGTGGGGGCCGGGGCTGGCAGCCCCCGGACAGCAGCAGTCCCTGGGCTTGGAGCCAGCAGGACGGGCTCTGCGGCACAGCCAGGGCTGCAGGAGCAGCCGGGGGTCCCCCGATGCTTTGGGAAATGGGGTGAAGCCTGCAAGGGTTGCAGGCGGTCCTGCTGGAGGCCCCAAGGCTGGGACGGAGCCAGGGGGTCCCAGCTGGGCAGGAGCGCTGAGCCAGGGCTCAGCACCACGTTTCAGGACAGGCACTGGCAGAGAGAGGCACAGACATGGCCTGGGGGTGCTCGCAGCAAACAGCAACTTTATTCACACCACCGCTCCCTCGCCGCGCTGCATGGATCCCCCTCCCCAAAAACACAGCCAGGAGACCCCGCAGTCCCTCGACAGGTTACCAGTTCCGCATGTTAACAGGTTTGCTGTCTCACGAGGCACTTGTGTCTTTTTTTCCCAATTTTGGAGGAGATGAGGGCTTCCCCATCCCTAGGAGTTGTGCAAGCCCCCCCAACCCTGACACAAGTCCAGTGCACACATCTCCAATTAAGTCATGTTAGCCACAAGGGAAGCCAAAGCCCAGGAGCTGAATTGTATGGGAGAAGCAGCAGCAACTCTGGTTTTACAAAGGATGGGACAGATTTGGCCCCAGAGACAGAGGGAGCAGCATCACCTCTCCCCAGCGAGTGGCACAAATCCAGCATGGGCTCAGGTCCAAGTGATCACAAACTGTTCCCACATTGGCAGCGATATGGGGACTCTCAGCACCTGAGTGGGAGAAGGAAGGGTCAGCATGGTGAGAACTGGCCGGGATGGAGCCCAGGGGGTGTCAGAGCCGAGGGGGGTGTCCTGCCTCCCTGGGGTACACCCCAACACAGCCCCGGTCCCACAGACCTCCCTGGGAAGGGTGCCCATGGCAGACAGCCCTAGGAGCAGAGCCATGCCACTGCTCCTTGCAGAGCTCCAGCCTCATCCCCACGCATTCTTCCCATCTTCCATCTCCCCATCCTTGCCCCCTTCCACAGCCTAATCCTGCCCCAGCCCCAGGGCAGCAACACAGCCCATGCCGGGCAGCCGTTTACGCTCCTTGGTGCCAACAAAGCAGGTACTGTGCCATCACTGCGGCCAAACCCCACCAGCCCCTCAGCTGAGCCCCAGGTCCCTTCCCAGCCACCGGCCGGCAGCTCGCCCCCGCTGCCACCCCCTCCCACGGTGGGGACGAGCACTCGCCTGCGTGTCACTGCGGTAGGAGAAGCCACCCACAAGGGCACCGTTGGCCAGGACTTGCCGGGGAGGGCTGGTGACACCCAGCACGGTCACAGCCTCCAGCAGGACCCCGTCGAGGTGGGCGCCCACCTGCAGGAGCTGGCTGAGCAAGGCACCCTGCAGGGACAGGGGTCTGTCACCCCACGTTCTGGGCTTCCAGGCACCCCACACACCCCCAGGGCTTCTCGATGTGCCCTGCCCGATGCACTGCCTGTCTGCAGGGCACCGGGTCCGGGGGCGGTTCGGGTACTCTGCCGTCACTGTGGAGCGGCAAAGCCATTTATCGGAGGGATGGGGCTGGAGAGCATCCGCTGCTATGCAGCACTGTGGGTGCAAGAAGAGAGCAGCCACCTCCCCAGCGCAGCCTCTCCCCCTCCTAAAGGGGTTCCCGGTGGGGTACAGCCCCCATGGGACCCCACCACCCCACCAGCACACAGTGCTGTAGCCGCTCAGCCTGGCACTTTCGGCATGACGCACCTTGGCTGCACCAGGGCGCGGTGCTGCCCGTGACCGCACATGCCCCAGGGCAACCAGGACCTGCAGGGGGGAGTGAACGCCCGGGGCGGGGGCCCCCCGCTAGAACCCCCCCCCCCTCGCTCACACGTGTGGCCAGGAAGAGGATCTCAGTGTAGTCCCCCTTCTCAAAGGTCTGCCAGCTCTCCCCATCATCCCAGAACAGGTCTCCTCTAGCGAAGCCGTCCGGTGTCAGCGCCACGACCAAGGCCATCCCCTTCTTGCGGGACTCGGTGGTGCTGAATGCAGGCTCCTGCAGCCCAGGACCAGATACAGCTCCGAGCGCTGCAGGAGTCGCTTTTCCCCAGCCCCGGCCAACCACCGCAGCCTCGCGGCTTATTCGGCAATGTCCAGTCCGCCGGTGACCGTGTTGCCGCCCTCCGTCCTGCCCCACACGCCGGCAGGGGCTGGCCAGGCAGGTCACCGCGGCATCACCGCAGCAAGGAGGGGGCTCACCTGCAGGGGCAGGATGTGCCCTGCGCGGACATGGACGTTAATGGTGTCCAGGGGAGCTGGCAAGAGGATCCACTGCCCTTTGCTGTGGATGGTGGAGTCCTAAGTGACAACAAAAAGGGGAAGGAGTTATTAGGCACAGGGCGCAGCGTGCCCAAGGGGGTCCCAGCCCAGCGTTGCTGCCCTCGAATGGCCACGAGAGAGGGCAGGCGAGGAAAGAGTCTTCAACACAGCCCTGGGGGGCCGGTACCAGTGGTGGGGTGCGGGGACCCACCGTGCGGCCACCTGAGACCCCCGTGGCGCGACAGGGGAGCACCCACCCCCGCAAGGCTGTACCACGTCCCCGCCGGGAAGTAGCCGCTGACTTTGGTCTTTCCTGCCTCCAGCACAGGTGTGATGAGCAGCCCCCCGCCCCACATGAGCTGGCGGTCCACGGCCCAGGTGTTGGGGTCCTTGGGGAACCTGGGGAGGGATGGGGAGGGGTAGCGCAGCGCCAGGAAGACCCTGCACCCACCTCCCGCTGAGCCCGGCGGGGACCAGCACCCATCGGCCCTGGATGGGTCGGCACTTACTCAAGGAAGAGGGGCCGTGCCACTGTCTCCCCGGCGGAGTGAGCCCGGTGGAAAAGGGTGTAGAGGAAGGGCAGGAGGGAGTAGCGGAGGCAGAGGGCTTTCCTCATGGCAGCCTGGGCGGCTGGGCTGAAGGCATATGGCTCCTGCGGCTGTAGGGGAGAAGCCGAAGAGGAATGCTCGGACTGCGCGGGGAGGAACCGTGAGCGCCTTTTGGGGATGCAGGACAGACTCCCCACGGCACGACCCCGGCACCGATGGGACGCAGCCCCACAGCTGCGCCAGCCGCCTTCCCACGCAGGCAGGGCAGCCCCTCGCACAGCCCCAGAGCACCCACCCCTGCCCCATCCACCCAGCTGCCCCCCCCCCGCCCGCGAGGGCTCCTGGTGCTCACCCGGGTGCCGTGGTCATTGTGGTTCCTCATGAAGGGGTAGAAGGCGCCCAGCTGGGTCCAGCGCACGCACAGCTCCTCGGACGTGTCACCCACAAAGCCACAGATGTCGGCACCCACCAGCGGCACCCCAAAGAGGTTGAAGAGCAGCACCTCTGCGGAGGGGGTGCAGAGGGCATCGGGGCTCCGCGGAACCTCGGGCACAGAGCCCAAGGAGAAGCTGCTGGCTGCGGGGGAGGCGCAGGGATGCAGGGGTGAATGCAGCCCCAGCGCCCCGCAGCCTACCTGGTACGGAGTAGTAGAGCTGCTCCCAGTCGCTGCTGACGTCCCCTGTCCAGTGTCCTGCGTAGCGCCCGTGCCCAGCGAACGTGGAGCGCGAGATGACGAAGGGGCGCTTGCCCCGGACCCTCAGCAGCGCGCTGCGGGCAGGATGGGGTCCGCTCAGCACCACCCAGCCAGGGAAGGGACTCAGCGGCTCCTGGCAGCAGCGCAGAGCTGACATGTGCTGGAGCAGACGCCCAGCACCATCTTGCCCATGGGGAAGGTGACACGGGGCAGCGCTCAGGACACAAGCCCCCAGCCCAGAAGCCAGTGCAGCTGCACTGCACCAGCTCCAGCCCAGGAGCTGCTTCCAGCCCCCTCCAGTGCTGGGCTGGCAGCAGCAGGCAGCGCACTGTGGTATAAACCAAACCCTCGCTCACCCACCAAATGCCCCCCCATGCCCAAACTGCCCATGCCGCAGTGCGGGGAGGGGTGTCTCTCCCGGCTCTGGCATCCCCTGGGATATGCACCAGCTCCTCTAGGACAGCAAGAGCTGCGGCATGAATCCCAGGCTTACTCGTGGGAGGCGATGGCCTCGGTCAGCCCGTACAGGCTGTGCAGGTTGTAGTGGGAGGACAGGTACTGCTGGCTGGAGGCACAGATGGTTCCAGCTCGGAGGCGTCCTCCAAACACACCTATACGGGAGGGGCGGTGGTGAGGGTGAGCTTGGAGCCCGCTCGGCTGGGACTGGAGCATCCCCGGATTCCTCCCCACACCCCCAGGCAGAGGCTGGTACTCGCCCCCTGTACCTGGCACGTAGGGGGGCTGCTCCAGGCTGTTGTTGGGGCAGCCGTCCTGGGAGCCCTCCACGAAGTTCGATGGCTCGTTCATGTCCTGGGGAGGGAAGGGAAGGGGAGGGAAAGGACGCGATGCCCTCGCTGCCGCACCAGAGCCCAGCAGAAGTGCAGGGCAGGAGCCAGTGAGCTGCAGCCGGCAGCTCTGTGGCGGCCACTCACAATCCACATGCCATCAAAGGGCACTTGGTCATGGAAGTCCTTCACCATGTCGTGCCACCACTCGTGAGTCTTGGGGTTGGTGAAGTCTGGAAAGGCCGTCGGACCCGGCCAGACCTACGGGAGTGAGGCAGCAACAGGCAAAGCCCCGCTGTCCCTGGCCCCACCACACCCCGCAGCCCCTGTGTGCCATTTTCCCATTTTCCACCATGGCCATTCCCTGGGTGTTTCCCTCCAGCTCTCGGGGCCCCACGCAAGCCCCCTCCCGCGGGGACCAGGGCTGCTCCCCGTACGCACCTTCCCAATCAGGGGCTGCCCAGTGGCGTTTCGGATGAACACCCCTTGCTTCAGTCCCTCATCGTAGGGCTTGTAGGTGCCGGGAGGTCCTGAGCTGCTGATCCCAGGATCCTGGTGGTGCACAAAGCCAGGGCTTCACCAGCAAGGGCAGGGAACAGTCTCCTCTGCCTTCCTCAGGGGAAGCTCCATCACCACCCTCGGGGACAGTCGGAAACCCCGGTGCCAGCCCACCCGTGCGGGAGCCCTGGCGCGGCCGGGGGTGTCACTCACCACGATCATGATGTACCTCAGGCCGCTGCGATGGAAGTCCCGCACCATCTCCGGGTAGTCCTTAAAGCTTTTCTTGTTGAAGGTGAAATCCCTCTTGGCGTCCATGTAATCCAGGTCGTTCCACTGCACATCCTGCAAACGGCAGTGCCTGGTGCTTGGGGAGGAGCAGGGACCCCGGCACGCTCCCACGGGACCCCCGCCCCGTGCGGGCTCCCCATCAGCCCCCCCATGGCCACTCTCAGGCAGAGGCTCCAGGGAGCAGCCGAGACCTACCAGGGGAAAGCGGGCTGCCGTCATGTTGGCCACGACCTGCCGGGTGATGTCGGTGGAGGAGTAACCCCAGCGGCAGAGGTGGAAGCCCAGGCCCCAGTACGGGGGCATGAAGGGGAACCCTGGAAGCCGGGAGGGTGGGTGCTGGCCAGGCAGGCGCAGGGACAGCCCAGCATTGCGTTCCCCCGCAGCCCCGCTCTGCCCCACCACGCCGCTCGCAGCATCCTGGCAAAGCCACCCCCGGAGCGCCTGTACCCCCCACCCGTGGCTCAGCCCTACCGATGACATCCAGGTACTGCCGCACCACGCTCTTGGGGTCAGGGCCCAGGAAAACGTAGAAATCCAGGATCCCACCCGTCGTGCGCCAGGTCAGGGCCGGGCTGGGCTGCAGGAGCACGTCTGGGGAAGCACAAGCACCGGAGGAATAAGCTGAGGACAGGGACGGGGGCCAAGCCTGTGCCCAGTGCCTCCGCGGGACTCACCCATCGCGTTGCTGTTCAGCAGAAAGACACCGTGGGCCGAACCGCCGTCCTCCATCCCCAGGTAGAAAGGGTGGGAGCCGTAGAGGTTGACCTGGGGCTGGAACAGAGCACAGCGCGGTGCCGGCAAGACTCCGCTGGAGACCCCGGCGTAGCACCCAGCCACCCACCCACGCGCCTGCCCCTTGCCTCTGCCCAGAAGCACCGTCGTGGCTTGGAGTGCAAACCCAGGGCTCGCAGCCCCAAGCACTGCCCGAGTCAGCAGAGCTCTGCCCCGAGCAAGAGCCCTGGACCGCGCGGGGGAAAGTGGCTTCTGAGCAGCACAGAGCCCCAGGGGGAGACAAAGCCCAACATGGGGAAAACGGTCCCATGGGCTTGCCCAGGGCTGAGGCCAGGTCCCAGAGCTCAAGAGGCTCGGACGGCTTTTCCCAGCCCTGGACAAGACATAAGAGGCCACGGGGCCGCCCCTGCAAGCACAGATGAGCCCTCTCCCTCTGCCTCAGCCCCACTCTGTACCACAGGCGCCATGTCCCGATTCCAGAGGGTGACCCTGGTCCACGCCGTGTCGAGGACCAGCGGCGTCAGGTGCTCCCCCAGCCCAGAAATGAAATGGGAAGGCAAGGAGGTGGAGATCTGCAGGAACTGGTCTGCGAAGAAGAGGGGCGCGACGGTGGTGTTCAGCCTGCCGGAGAGAAAAGGAGACTCCGGCAAACAGCCCCGGCGGTGCCCAGCAGCCGGGGAAGAGGAAGGCAATGAGCTGGAGGACCACCAGCCCTGGGGAGGGACATGGATGCTTGTCACCACATGAAACAAAAGCAGGTTTAGGCTGAGCTCTGGGATTCCTGCTTCCCTTCCCAGCCACCGAATTGCGTAGGGGGTCAAAGCAAAGCCCCCGCAGCCACTGACAGCCACCCTGTTGCTGTCCCCAGTGTCCCCTGCCGCACCCCAGCTCCCATCCCGCACATCGCTGGGGTCGGTGTCAGGTCCCGCTTCCAGACCGAATCCCTTCGGGAAGGCGAGGGGAGCCTTCACCCGGCTCGGGCCAAGACGGGCACTTACAGGACCTGCCCGCCGCGCTGCCGGTAGACGACGAGGCCGAAGGGATCCTGGTTGAACTGCACCCCGTAGAGCGTGGAGGCGGCTCGGCCGCTCACCCGCGGCGTGGCCAGGGGCACCTCGTAGCGCTGCCGGGCCGGGTCCCGCAGCTACGGGGGCAGAGAGGGGGGCGGTCAGCCGGGACCGGGACCGGGACCGGGGCCGGGGTGCCGGGTCGGGGGCGCACCGTGAAGCGCAGGCGGGCGGGGGTCTCCATCGCCACGTCCAGCCGCAGGCTGCCCACCTCCCCCGGTAGGAAGCTGGCAGCGACGCGGCGGAGCCCGGCGGTGTAACCGCTGGCGGTGGCCGTCAGGTTCTCCGCCCGGTAGCTGCGGTAGCCACGGGGGAAGAAGCACCAGGGAGGACCGGGGCCGGAGCCGGAGCCGTGGCCGGGACCGGGCTCGTAGCAGCAGCCCCGCGCCTCGCAGCCCCCCCGCGACAGCAGCCGCTCGGGGCCGCA